TGTGAGTCATCAGGGTAATTGAAGTCCAACAACGGATTCCTTTTGGACAGGCTTCAATCGTTTCATTGCTATAGCTTCAGAAAACCTGAGAAGACTTGAGGTACTTTGTCTGTTAATTATTTTGAATGATTCCAGCACATCTACTCTGTGTCCTGTGTCAGTTAGGCGTTTGGCGATTGAAGAGCTTAAACAATTCGGTACTTTTAACTAGAGGCTCCCTGGTACATGTTCGCAGAATCTGATGTAGGCCCTCCTCTCTGTTCTTCCAATGTAACTGCTCCCGCGGATACATGTGAATTGGTATACACAGTTGGAGGTAAATCGCAATGCCTTATTTTACTATGATACTCTGACAATATGCTTGCTAATGGACAAAGGTTTGTTAAAATTCTACACTTTTTATTTTTTCAAAGAATTCAGGTTGTACGCAGCTGATGAGAACCAACGAAATAAAATGGATCCAGATTATTCTGAGTCAGTGTTTCTTCGTTCTTTCCTCTGATTTTGATGTATTACTAGCGATGTTTGTCCGATGTATATCGCATCACATTTCATGCACTTTATTTTACAGACACAATTAGTCAGAGAATACTTATGGATTTAGTCTTTTATATGGACAAGATTGCTTTGTAGTGTGCGTATCTGATGTTTTGAAGAAAGCTCTGGTGTTGTGCTTTTGGAGTACTCTTCTGATATCGTCTGATGTTTCTGATCTATATAGAATAAAAACTGTTGACGTCAATGTCTTCTGAATACGTTTCCAACCATATTTAATGTTAGTATTCATTTTGTTGATGAAGTTCTTTGGGTAGTTCTTTTGCTTGAGAGTCTCAGTAATGTATCTGATATTTCTTCTTCATTTTTCGTCTCATTCGTTAACATCAAAGAGTGTGCTCGTCTAAGGAGATTCGAAACAACTGATACCTTTGCAATGATGGGGTATGACGACCGGAAGTCTAAACACTTCTCGGAGTGGGTTTTTTCCTGAATATGGATGAATATATTAAAATATCCGTTTTTCCTCCGCTTAACTAGCCAGGCAGTCTAGTCGAAATGGCGATTCAGTGAAGTCTGATTTTGCTTCCGAAGTAAACTGGATTCTGGGGGATAGATTGTTCAGTCTCTCCAAGAATGAACTGTGTAGATCCCATTTCAGCACAACAAAAGTATCATCCATCATATTTTAGGCGTGAGTATGCTTGAAAAGATGTTAAAGGTGCATCATCATTAGTAGATGAAATTTACAAAGAAGTTAAACACGCTTGACTTTGACAAATTGTTTGCGTTTGTCTTCATATACAACATTTTTGGTCTGGCGATACTACTGTCTGAAAATCTCGAAGCTTTAAACCTAACACTAAGAATACATTAGGTGCTTAGTTATCATTACTATTGGACTCCATTGACCATTAGCTTTCTATCACAAATCATCGCCGGTGGATTTTTTCTCTCTGTAAATGACAATTTCTTCAACACAACAGGATGTTTGGTTACAGGATTTCATCATGAGCAACAAGGAGTACTGGACAGCTGTTTCGTCCTAGCCCAGGACTCCCCAGAAGTACACGCCTGCCACCAGGGTTCAAATCCAGGACCTTCTGGTTACAAGGTGAGCTAGCTCGTAGACCACTAAGCCATTGGTACCCAATCCAATGGGCAGTACATGAATAGCAACTTCTGCCATTTGACGACATGGCACGACCGCTAGGCAATGCCTTCGTCGAGTATTTTTCTTCACACCCGACCTGCTGCACCCTACTGGTCACAATTTCCCACTATAACCCAGGTAACTACCTACCTGAATAGGGCCAGTAGCTAGTGAGCATCTCATTGATATTCAAGTATTGGTTTTTGTGGGGATATGGTCGATGGGTTACAGGATTTTATTCCAGGATGTATAGTGTATGTAATATATCAGGAGTTGTTCCGTCTTCTGATATCATATCCAAAGGGAAATGATTTGCATATTTGTCTCAACTTCTTTCGGTGGTCGCATATATATGTATCAGTCACTTCACCTGACAGACAGATCACTATCAGTCTGGTCAAGGCTTCAATAGCGAAAAGAAAAATCTCCATTTAGACATTTACGAGACAAAAGGATTGAGTGTAGAAATATTTACACTTTTCAATAAGATCCTCATTTGTGGCTCTACTCTAATATATTTGCATTATTATTACATATATTATTATTGTTCCCTTGGGTTCCGAGTGGAACTTAGGGCTTCAGCATCACATCTTCACTTTATCCTTTTGTCTGCTGTCCTCTCTAGCTGGCCACACGATTGCCCGTAATCTCATCTCCTCCACCAACACACGCTCTTCTCCATGTCACTCTCGCACTCGTTGGGTTCCACTCGAGAGATGGACTGGTGCGCGATGTCATTCAATGGTCTCCTCAGTGTGTACCCAATTCATCTACATTTTCTCCTACATGTCTGTTGAACGACAGGTCCTTGGTTAGTTTGTTCCCCCTAGTTTCTTGCTGCTGATTCTATCTGGCCGTTTGATCTCCAGTAGGCAGTCAGACATACATGCGTACATACATCTAATCCTAACGAGATAACTGAAATTCTACACAATGTAAGTAAGAAATTGATCGAAGGAATTTTTGTGGTTGAAAAAGCCTATGATCCATTCACACATAACCTCTACTTTCAGCCGCTACATCTAGCAAGATAGACACTGCTGACCAGTAGACTCATGCACTGTGTATAAAGCTTTAAAGATCCGGTTTTTAAGTAAGTCCTTGTAATTTCGCGGCCAAGGCGTGAAGAATGCCAAATATTTTCCGTACTGTTATCACCCCATAAGTTTCAAGTTACATATCTACGGGTACATTTTTATATTTTAAGCACATAAAACGAGGAAGTTATAATATTAGGTAACACATCCGAGTAAAACACATTTGGCTATGTCATCGACTCCTAACTTTTGAACAATGAGCTAGAGTTCTAAACTCTAACATTCCACAGGGGCCATGTTAGTTTTTTTATAGATGTATAACGCAGTAGTATTTACTGGACGACGTTTCGAACAAAATTTATCACCGTTCATAATCATATCAATTATAATCACACGACTTTGAAACTTGAGGTTTTATAGTTTCCTTTGTCCTCTCCTATTTGTCATCGTTGGGGTAGTAGAATTTTCCAGATATCTGGGTGGACAGGCGACGAATCATTCCTATTACACGTGTTTGCAGTTGACTCGATAAACAAAGCTTCCGTTGTTATCACTGTCTCCCTCCACCCTGCTGGTACATTAGAATTTAAAACTGTCACCTTATCCCATCCTATTGTGTGTAATTGCATGTAGTGAGTGGTATAGCTGAGCTATTCTCTAGATTTCTTATCTTATTCGGATCAACCAATCTAGATTTTGCTAGGTCTTAATGTTCAACTACTCTGGCTGAATGACCTCGTTCCACTAGTTTGACCTGACAATCATTCCAGCAGGGTATTAGATACACTTAATTGTTTTGTTTTAAAGGCTCCACATGATTGATCGTCTAACCGACAAAACCTGTTTCTAATTGAGTTTGTGGTTGGTTTGAATGCCAGCCACTTTTATTCCTGCCTTGTTAAGAATTCTCCGCTGTAAAGTTTCCGAGGCTCCTTCCTTGTATGGAATTACTACTGGTGATTTAGATTCCTTATTGTTGGTGTCGTCATTAATATTATTATCACAATCATTTATTTTCCCTACATATTTCCTGACTAATATATCAGTGTAATTATTAAGTTTCAAGGCTTCTCTTATGTGTATCACTTCCTGTCTTAGATTTTCCTTGGTACTACTTAGTTTTTGTGCTCTAACTTAAACATTTCACCAATCCTATTTTTACTGATATAGTATACAATACTGTTTCACTGTGTGATATATCTAATAAACAAACTAATATGGAATTAGTTACTATTACACAGTGCCCAAGTTTTACACATATATTAATATGACATATGATCTTCCTGTACGAAGACTTATCAATAAACTCACTCGACTTTCACAAACTGAAGCAAGATGTGAAAATCATCGTATTTTCAATATTCGATGCTTAAAAAATGAAATCATTCCTAAATATCTATGTCTACGAGCTCCAGTTTCAACGGAGTGAGATTTAGAAGCAGAATAGAAAGTCTACAAAAATTATGCCTGATAGAAGAGATCCACAGAATCGTTAAAAAGCTACAACATATCGGATGTGAAATTGAGCAATTAAAACAAAAGCCAAAGGGAATAGTTACCAATATAGATTATGATCTTATAACACACAGTCCTCCAACAATGCAAAATCGGTAACTTTCAAAAAGTCAAAAAAAAAATAGTCAGATCAAAAAGTTCAACAAATTATTAGAGGAGAAATCTTCATCCCACAACGATGATGTGTCAACAATCCAAAGTCAACGGTGATCGATAAAACAAAGTGGGTTATCAATTTCTCAACACATATATTAAGTCCTACAGAAATAAGTGTATTAGGAAAGGGACTAAATTTCAATGTATCAGTAGACAAGCTGAATACCTGAGGATGACATCCCTAAAATAGAAATAGCATTAAATGGGATAGACAAAACAACAGCTGACAAAGTACGGGCACAATGTGCACTTACATGAAAACGACAAAAATATGCAAAGCCTAACCTAAAAAAACCAGAGATAGAAGCCCTGAAACACTTTAAGATCCACAGGGGCCAGTTCCATCCCTTTTTCTCTTCACAATTCAATTTCATATTCAAATTTAAACACAAGTTTTACTATTCTTTAATATCCTCAAAGTTGTATTACAAGAAAAAAGGTGAAATGCAGAAAAAGGTTGAGTTGTGTACACCCATAATTTATTTAATTGCTATTTCAAAAAATAATGTACATTTTTTTTAAATAAATCAAACTTTTGGTTGGTTGATAGCAATAATAAATTTCTGAAAAATAGACAAGACGACTCAGTACAACTGCTTTACAAAAAAAATCAAGTTGTAATATATATCGTTATGCAATGCAAGCTATTTAGCGTTATAGCAGCTGGCATTTTGTTGATTTTTAGGATTTTCTGGTGATGTTTGAAACATTTTGAATATCAACTGCTTGAGTTGTGAATGTCGCATAGATGGATTTTCAGCTTTCAACTGAGGCATCATACGCTCTTCAAAGGCTTGATAAGCAGCTTTTAGACGTTTTTCTGGATGTTTATCAGTATCACCTTCATTGCCCAAACTAAGGGAAAAAAAACAACAGATACAGCTTTCAATGAAACATTAGTGATTAGTGATTATAATTTTCAGCAAAAAGGTCTAAGGTAAAAACCAAACGAATGTGTTGGTAGGCTACAGGATTTCATTATGAGCTAACATCGGCTAGAGAATCATTGGAAAACCACCTGGGAGTACTGGACAGCTGTTTCGTCCTAGCCCAAGGATCGAATCCAGGACCTTCCGGTTACAAGATGAGCTTGTAGACCATCAGGCCCCCGAGACTCAATCCGATGGCACATGAATTCCAACCTTTGTCAATTCACGATATAGCGCAACCACCACCACCAGCTTATGTCATCTTACCGACTGGTTTCAACATAGAACTTTGCACCGATGTACAACAGTTCAAGTCGTCACACTTCACTCACCACACGAAGCAAAAGAAGGAGAAGAAACTGAAAAGGAATGCAAAATAGAGACAGTAAAAATAGCTATGAGGCAAAAAGAATAGTAACATCGAAGAAGCATATAGTTTTATTGGAAATTATAAGTCACAAGGAGTGGATGCAGCTGCGCTAACCATTGAGAACGATTCTGAACTACATCACCAATTGTCCCCAGTCATAGCTTCTCAGTATCCCGAGGGCCCCAACGAGCCAGAAAGTCAACACCTTCCTACGTGGCTAGCTTAAGCTAACTGTTGTGTTAATATATTACATATATTATATATATTGTGTTAACTGTTGTGGATTTTATTGACTGATGAAACCATGTTTTGGTTAGACCACCACTAGCTTTCCCTTTCCCATCCTGATCCATCCTTTGTCAGCTAACATCTCCCGTCGAGGAAGGCAATAGCTACTCTAGACAAGCGTGACACATGTCCTAATCATCTCAATCGATATAACTTCACAACCCCATCGATTGATTTCTCCCACCTACCTAGCACTCGACGCTTAACCTCAATATTGCTCACCCTATTATACCACTTCACACGGGGGATAGAACGCAGGCACCTTCGATTAAAGGCAACTAGCTTCTTCATGTCTTCCACTTTCAATTGCCAGGTCTTGCTAAAAACCATAAAAGGCGGGGAGGACTTCTGAGCAGTACAAACGCCCTTTGGTCGACAGCCAACCAGATATCACATCTATACTAACGTCATCGTCGACTATCTTTTCTCACCCGACGGTTGTCCGACCGATGTTAGCTCATGATGATATCCTTGACTGTGTCTATAATTGAATGATTACTCATTCATGTCTAAAATAAGCGGTGAAACTACACATGTTGTAAGAACTACTGGTGCACTGTATCTGGAATATTATATACACGATGCCCAATATAAGATTCTAATTAATAGCAATCAAACTTCTAGTCAGAGAGATTAAACACTCTACTATGGATACCAATAAACAAAAACTGACTTTGGCGTCAAGATAGTACGTTGGGAACATCGGGTGAAAGGCTAATCATCAACAGCTGTCCTTACGATGTGTCATGAAGTCTATGGATCACACCACAACTAAAAGTTGATAATGATTGAATTAGTGAGAAAAACCAAATCAAATGCCCAAATCTCGTCTGAAAAGACATGCCTGAATGCTACCACATAACACACTATGCATATTTCAGCCTGCCGAAATCAAGTTTCACCTTGAAATCAGTCACATTTAACACATTTATCTTAATCCCAGCAATCCTATGCTAAGATAATTATTTCCAGTAAATTGGCTGACAATAGGTGTGAAAAATTTAAATCTTAGGCAGATTGTACACAAAAAATGAAAGCCGAGAAACATATGATAGCTTGACAGCTAGTCATATGGAAAAGTGATTTCGACTACAATCAGACCACTTTATGCATCTGTCACGTTGATATACTATAAAATTCATGCTACCTGACTGACTGGTTTCAACATAGAACTTTGCACCGATGTACAGCAGTTCAAGTCGCCACACTTCAATCACCACACAAAGCAAGAGAAGAAAGTAAAAAGAAATGCAAAATAGAGACAGTAAACACAGATATGAGGCGAAAAGAATAGTAATATCGAAGGATAAAAGAGCTTCATTGAATATGATATATATATATATATATATATATATATATCTGAGCCACTGAGAACGATTCTGAGCCATATCATCAATTTTCTCCAGTCTTCATTGGTTTTTACCAACCCGATGATACCAACCAGTCAGGTAGTCTACATCCTTCCTATGTGACTACCTGAGCCTAATTTGTCTCCTTTCACAGTTAGATTCGCAAAACTGAAAATGATTCTATTCTAAGGTGGTTATTAAAAACCCCCAACCAACTTTTACTGCGACAATATAATTCTGTAAGCCACTTTGTTGAAGCAGACATGTAATATCCAAACTGTATAATTGTGATAAAGTATGGTCGCTTTCACGTTAATCACACCGAAAGTTTATGCACTGCAGTGCTTTAAGAGAGAGAGAGCAAAACTTAATCTGAATGAAACAATAATCAAGAAATCACTTCTAATAAAGACAAAAATATTTAGATCTCGAGATGATTAAACTGACTACATATTAAGTAGAAATGAGATGGACTGAAGAATACCTCGATTTTTTCACACTGGAAATATCTGACCCTCAATGAGAGACCTACAACGAAAAACACTGAAGAAATTCTAACATTTCCTTATCAAACTGCATTCATGTATCCTAATGTGCTTAGTACTCCTGAACCACTGATTACTAGCTACATTACAGTTTGTGAAGCACTATAACACACATTGTAATACGGGTGGTTAATTATGATTTTGTGACAGTCCTGATACATTTTTCCGCATAAGCGATAATGTTTCCACTAACTATAAAAATTGTATTGAAAACCCCAACAGCTATAACTTTCGCTAACCTCGTAACACAGTTTCACGAAATATGTTTTGCTGGCCGTTTGTTTTTTATCCTGGTATTTCTGTAGTCCGTAAATACTGAAGGGTACTCCTGAACATTAGGGTGGGTATTCAGAACAGACTACGTTATTCTCTGACTTGTTACCAGGGAACAGTCTTTCCCACCTAGAGTATGCTGATATTCTTCTCCCTAGTGAAGACACTAACAAAATGCAGTCTTCTGAACACTTTGAGCAACAATCTTTGACCGTTTGGCATGTGACTCAGTGTTTAAAGATAGGCACTGATTTAGTACAGTTTGCTCACTACTTCACTTATTTGGACAGACTGCTGACGAAGTCTCAGCATAGATAAAAGATGCTTGGGTGGAGTTCGCTGACCTACGTCGTCTTTGGAGTGCATGTAATATCCAGTTATTAGCAGCAGTTTCCGCTGTCTTTATTTATGGCTGTGAAACACTGCCAATAAAAGTGGAAGATATGAAAAGGCTGGCTGTCTTTAACCACAGATATCCGTGTTAAGTTGTACAACAGGATAAGTATTATTGAGGTTAGGCGTAATGTTACGCAATGAGGATAAGTCAATCGACGAGGTTGTGAAGCTACAATGATTGCGCAACCCGAGTCAGTCAGCGCCTTTCCTAACAAGCAATGTTAGCTGAAATAGGGCCATGCAGCAAAAAGTTAGAAGTGTCCATACCTAAACGTGTCACCAGTCCATGAAGTCATTGACCGTTGGTGTGAACCAAGTAAGGGGTTGTAGACTGCATGGTTAGGGTCTTCAGGATGCTAAGAAGTAACGGCTGGCGACTGTTGATGATATAGCTCAAAATTGTTCTTAGTGGCGCAGACGCAATTTCTCAATGTGATTCTATATATCCACTAATCCGTTATGGTTTCCTATGTTCTTATCGCTCTCCCTTACATTTCCGCTGATTATGAGTACGTTTACTTTTTCTCTTTTTTCTAACTTTCTATGCTATATGGAGTATTTTAGCTTGAACTGCTACACATCTGTGGAAAGTTCTATGTGGAAACTCAGGCAGTCATGCTTCAGCCAAGTATAACTCTCGACGTTTTCGAACGATATTCAAAGACTCTGTCGGATGTTTGGTTACAATGTAAACGAAAGAAGTACCTGAGCTACTGCAAATTCAGAATAACAAAATTTAAATAAGAATGAAGTGATATTGCACACCTAAATATAAGCGATAAACGGAGTGTAAAAAATAAACATTAAAAACAATCATCAAGAGTGAGTAATCGAAAAAATGGATTGTGATCCGTATTTCGTATGATTTAGTCACATGACTTTAAATTTCAGCTGTCTTAATTTATGAATAAGAGACTGGTTATGGCAGACTATGATAACCAAATCTAGAGAAGAAAGCTACAATTGCACAAAACGCAGCGCTGACCAATAAACATTTAGACACTCCTCCAGGAGACAATCGTATGCTTTGTAAAGTGAACGACACATGAAATTAGGATTTTAGATCAATTCTTCATCACTTATCAGCTAGTGACCCACACTTACTATGTGAGTAAAACTAATACTAACCAGTTGCTACAAATAAAATTAATAACTCCTAGATAGTATATCCCTGGATAGGGGTTGACACCGGTTCCAACTGAAAAACGATCCACATTAGTGCATTTGAAACTAATGTATACAATGAGAGTGTAGGATCTGAGTGTAAATGAACGATTCCCTCGCATTCTACGTTAACAAAATTAACTAAACTGTTTACCTCAGAATGGATATAGCTTCCTCAACAGTTCGTGCTTCCAAATCCTCCGTCTCAATTCGGTTAGGATTCGCAATGAGTTCTTCGGGCTCAGATTTCTGGGAAGTTTGGTTCAGAGCTGACAGCTGACTTTCCAACTTTTCACGAGCAGCAGCAATTTGGGCTTGTGTTAGCTTTGATGGCTGCTCTTTATTTGCGGTTGATTTGGCCGACTTGAATGTCGCAAGTTCTTCGTTATATAGCTTTTCTTTTTCCTTCTTCTTTTCTAATAGTTCTTGACGCTTTGAATCTTTTTCTTCCTTGAATACATAAGACATTTAGAAGGGCACTACATACTTTTCTCTGTTGCTTCCTACTTAAAAGTTTGTCATCATCTTTCCAGTACTCATCTTCGGCCTTTTTTATTATTTGAGCACGCTCTTCCCGTTTTTTCTCAGCCCGCCTTTCTCGAGCTTCTACTGCTTTTGGACATGTCCCGAGTTTCTTCGGCATAAAACAATAAATCTAATCAACCGCTATTTCTGCCCCAAGGCCATCTTGATAGTATCCAATATCCAATACCGCTTTTACGAGCTAGGATAACTCAATTTGATTTCTCTGTGATCGCTTCCCGATTGTAAGATATAGATTCCTGATCTTCGCTAAACTTCTCCGTGGTTCGTCTCGCCACTCGACTGCCATACCTTTCTTTGATGCGGTTTTGTTCTCTGAGCTGGATGCTTATTTTGGGCTGAAATTATCCGTAACTTATCAAGGTCATTGGTGGAGTGAGACGCTCGAAGGTCATTTTCGTCCATATCATTCGTCCATGTTGGATTGCAGTTCCGTAGCTGTTTTTTTTTTTATTTACAGCTTGATTCCACACCGTATTTTTGGTACAAGTATGGAATTTTCAGCATGGATATCGGTAGCCCAAATTTTGCACGCCGACCATAGATATCAGTTGTGCGCCGGCGTGGGCTCGAACCCCGGACCATGTGCATGGTTGGCGAGAGTCCTAACCACTGTGCCACCAACGAACGCGTGTACGCGTTTGTTGTTCCGTTTATCCTGCCGTTATACATGACTTATCTTGTTGCGTATTGTTCACAAATGTTGCGTTTCACCTCATTTTTTGTTTCCGTTGCTGTTGAAATGAATTATTTCTTCGGTTTTGAAACTTTTCACTACCAGGTCAGTGCATTCGTTTCGGTGTAATTGTTTCATACCTTGTATTTATGCGGCTTTCAGTGTTTTAGTTGGTTTTCAGCTGTTAATGAATTGACAATGTGTAGAAGTTTTAGAAATCATGCACATGAAGATGTTTGGCTGGCAGAAGCAGTTGTTTTCAGTCCATTTGTTGGTTGCATGTTTTGTTGCTGGCTCACTTGGTTACTTAACATGTAGAAGTCTGGGAAACTAATGTCTTTCACGTTTATGTCTACAGCATGCAACAATTTACCAGTAAATCTGGTGAGAAGGGCACGATGAAAGTTGATATTAGCAAGGTTTTCAAAGAACATAATCCTGGAGAATTTAGAACCTGGGTTGAAGTTGAAAAAGCTTTGAAGCTTTTTGAGAATGTGAATATACCATCAGTGTGTCTGCTATCACTTAAAAAAATGTATTGTGAGAGAATCTAAGTTAAATAAGGTTGAGCCACATGAAAAGTATGAATCTGTTGTGCTTGTGTGCATTTTGGGGAACTAAAAGAAACTGGAATTCTTAAGGGTAAGTGTTACTTATGCTTATTATTGCTTGATGTACTAGATCCAAATACATGAACTAGGACTGCCCGTAATAGAGCCAGTGTTAACATCCATTCGATGGGTTGCAAAACGGTTCTCAAAGCGGATAAGACACGACGATCTGGTGAGTGTACGATCTATCCCAGTTAGAGGTAAGACATTCATTGGGAAGAATGACATTTCGGGTTGTAATCTACGATCGGTGATTTCCTCGAAGTTGTGATTTTTCCGTGGCTATAAATGCTGATGTCCATGGTCTTTAAAAAAAACTAAATAAATTTTCCTTGAACCAGTAGTCTTCTTTTCTTTGGCGAAATATCCGTTGATACGATTAGGTAGCAAAGTAGGATGTTCTGTGACTGAGAATCGTGGTTGTTGTGTTTCTGACTAATTTCGCGCATCTGACTGTTATAACCACATGGATATAGCGTTTTCCTCATGGTACATTATGATGTCTAGAAATCATAAGCAAGCTGCCATCGGTAAATTTATTTTTACTTTTTAAATCACTGCAAATAGTGAATCGTTTGAGGTGATAGGGTGGATACCTCTGAATGTTTTTGTGGAGACTAGGGTATATTTAATTTTTTGGAGTAGGAGACGATCTTTTCACCACGAAAGTTCCCAGAATTTCCGCTTTTACTTCGCTATTCAAAGATAACGTTAAGTTGCACACTAAGGTAGTAGCTATAGGAGATTACCTTCAGGTAACTACGTAGCTTTAGGTAATTAGTTGCATACAGGTGTAAGTTATTTAATATCTATAAAGTAGATATGAAAATACCGCAGTTGTTGATCATAGAAATGATGGATATTAGATAACATCCTATGATTCAACAGCATATTAGAAATAAATAAAAACTGTTTCTTAGCTCATTATCAAGTGAACAGTCTATCTGATGATTTCACTGCATATTAACAGATTAGTGAAGCAGCTATCAAGCCTAAGTTACTACATTTACTTGTACCACACACTTGACGTTTAACAGTATACAGACTTGCAACTGTCTAGATAAGGAGACTTTAGTGCATTGAACAGTACAGAATTATTATTCAACTTGCTAAATCCCACTTAGCTTTTACGATGTACTATTGTGTAGAAACAGACACGAAATCCTATTAATGACTAAAGTAACAGTCTCGTAATACTACAGTAAATCTCCACCCCACTAACTAAGCTTAGCGTTTATTATTCCTAATTCACTTATTACAAAAGCACATAGTATAGAAACCAATTGAAAAAGTCCAGAGGAATTACAAATCAAGAGTATATTAAACATTTGGTTAATTTACAAAAGAAAATCCTGATGAAGGGTATTAACGTTAGTTTGACCGAATGATATTTCCGCTGATTTCATATTCGACAACCTCCGTATACCTGGAAAAAATAAAGTACATGTAAGAACTAGCATAACATGAAGTTAACAAGAGATAATTCTACATATTAGCATATACTATGAATACACTGATTCTGTTAACACTAAGTAATATCTCACGCAGATAAATGTATCTGTAGTCTACAGGTGATATTTATGTTGACGCTGTATGCATAAATATACATCATATGTTTTCCTGTATTTGAGGATTATACGCAAATTTCGAGACAATCTCCGGAACATCCATACTATTGAGGCGTCATTCTCTCATCAAGCTTACTTGCAGATCAACTTCACGCTAAATACTTTTACATGAAATGAAGTATTGCAAATGTATAACTTAGAAATTAATCCACAATCTCAGTAACGTCTAGTCCACAAGGTTTTGTGAATCCTACAGAAATCACATTTTCACATTTAGGAGACTATAGGCATCAAATATAAGCTGAACATGCCTCAACTCTAGACAGCTGTGCACAGTGCTAACAACATAGTGAAACACTTCAACTATTGTAAAGTACACAGACCTGTTGTGTTGATGAGAATAATAATGTCATATAATACAAACTAGAAAATTCAATCGTCATAGCGCATCTGTACTGCTTTGTTTAAATGGAAATCTCAGGAGAAGTTCATCTCTACTACTGGTGGTCAAAAATATTGCAGCATTAAGTAGACAGTCAGTGGAAATTGTAAATAAATTCATATTAATGATAATAAAGCTGAATAGATTCAGTTCTCGTAATCACCACGACTCATGCGTATAATCATACCGTGTAATGATTTAGTGCATTAATTGGAACAACAAGGAAATTTACGAGTAATTGCCTTCTCCACTGCATTGTACTTGCAATAATCGTGACAACCACCCATGTTTGTTATCCTACCAGTCAGCTAAGTAAACAGTGGCAAAATATTATTAAAGTTGAGATATTTTTGTACATTTAATTCACATAACCCATAGTACACTGCACCAATCAGTGCCAATATATATGAAATCCACTTAGAGACAACCTTTCAGCTTACCATAATTCCTGTCCAACCACAGATAGAGTGGAAAGCACATCTAAATGATAACTTGGGTAGCCACAAACGATTCTGATAGCATTTGCAGTTGATTTCCAAGCATTGAGAGAATTATTTTGTCAAAAAAACTGTTCTTCACACGAAAATAGGCTGTACTGATATCCTGAGACATGAAGTCTTCATTGAATGAAACTATGCCGAAAGGTGCAGCGTCTATATGGAGTAAACAATTTGCGTAAAAAGCATTACTAACTATCCTATCTTCCTCATTATCGCGATACTTTGACACAGTCCACCTGAAACACTAATCATTGAAACCAATATGTTAAGTGTGTCGCAGTCAGATCACATGAGGCGGACACCAACATAACCAGCCAAAAAATGGGAATTTCCATCAATCTAAATAACATATAAAACAATTTTAATAAAAATTATTGTGAAACAAAAATTTCCAAGTGGAACTTCAACAGTACGTGATAAAAAAGTCCAGCCTTAATTTGAGAAGCTTTCATCACCCTACTGGGTGACATCTTCAGCGCATACTTCAATCTGAAGTAAGCTTTTAGATTTCTCCACGAGTTTATTAATCATCTCTCCTGGTGACCTTGGACGTGATTGGTTGTTTATGTGTGTTTTCACATCTTCTAGGTTACTTGTATTGGAGCTGACTGTTTCTTTGACTTGAACTTTGACCCTTTGTGTGTGAAGTTTCTTTCTTACTGGTTGATAAATTTTGTCTATCTCTATGTGTCTATTGATTGATGATTCACTGGAATGCCAAGCTTCTAAAAATTCTCTAGCATTTTTGTTGTTTCCTCTGTCTAATATTTGAATGTTGTCCCAGTCGAATTGATGTCCGTGGTTTTCTGTGTGTAGTGATATGAGGGAGTGGATATCATGTCTTTTGACGGCTAACTTATCTTCGTGGATACGAAGACGAAGGGGACGTCCACTTTGGCCAATGTAGTGTTTTTCGCAGTTGTTACAATTTATTTTGTAGATGATGTTGGTTTTGTCTTCTTTCGCTGCTGAGTCTTTTGGTTGACATAGAATTGAGTGCAGCGACTTTGTTGGTTTGTGTACGACGTCAATTCCTAAAAGTTTGAAGAGTCTTGTAGTGATTTCTGAGATATCCTTCATATATGGTAAGGCGATTTTCTTTGTGCTTTTCTTGGTGGCTTTTGCTTTGGTAGGTTGGCTTGGAGGTATATGTTTTTTGATGAAATTCCGTGGATATCCATTCTTTTGGAAGACGTCCATGAGATACTTTTCTTCAATTTTCCTTAAGGTGGGAGTGCTGCAATGAGTCCTTGCTCTCTTGAATAGTGTTTGTATGCAATTCCTTTTGTGTGTTATTGGGTTGTTGCTGTTGTAATTTAGGATTTGGTCTGTGTGAGTTGATTTCCTATAAACTTGAGTTTCTAACTCCCATGTGGATATTCGCTTGACTAAGACGTCCAAAAATGGTGTTTTGTTCTCGGATTCCTCTTCTCTTGTGAATTTGATGTCGTTGAAGACGTTGTTTATTAAGTTGTGAGTTTTATCTAACTCGTTTCTTTTGGTTATTACAAATGTGTCGTCGACGTAGCG